AAAAAAAAAAAAAAAAAATGATAATAATAATAATGTTTAAAAATCTCTTTTAAGGAAATTAAGTAATACGGGAAATTAATTACCTTTAAAAAATTCCCAAATGTTCCACCCCCAGCTATGTTCCAAAATGACAGTAACAGATTATAATGATTTCCTTAAAGGCTGACACGATTTATACAAGGAACATTTAAATTCTCTGTGAGGTCTTTTGCTCTGGCATATTCTAATAAACATTCCTTGACTTATTTAGGCAGTGACATTACTTTTGCATGTAAAACAATAGGTCATGACATTTCATAGGTGTGTAAATTAAGTATCAGTATGTGCCCTAAATGGGATTTGGACAACATCTCCACCTGCCCCTACTCCAAGGAGGTTAGTGGTTTTCTCCCCAATCATTGATGTCTAAGATATGAAACTTTGGACAGGCGATGATTTCCTTACCAGGATAAAAGGCATAACAAGTAATTGTTTAAGCATTTTATCAGACAAGGAGTAAAAGGTGTGTGAACAGTTTAACAATCCCTGTCTCCTGGTGTCTTAAAATTTCTACCACTTTGCAGTTAAAAAAAAAAAAAAAAAGAATCACAGCATAAGGAAGGCATCTCAAATTTTAGCAAACCTAAAAATAACAATTAAGGGTTCATTCAAGTGTTAGAACATTTACATTACTGGCAAAAAATGGTTGATTTTGCATTTAAATCTTGGGATTTCCTTATCATTGGAAAATAAGTGACAATAAGTTATCAATACCTACTAAATAAATGAGCTATTATAATCCTAAGTGTAGTTTATTATCATATTAGTTTTGAAATTTTACAGCAGAAAAGAATGCTTTCCAACCAAGTTTTTGGGAAAGTCTTATGAACAACGTGTTATTGCAGTCATCTGAAAATTTACTACTTAACTGTGAGTTAAGGAAAATGGTCTGTTCTAAAAGCAAATAACAAGTTATGCTAAAATGATTATATAATACGATAAAATTACCTGTTTTGGATCTGATTTCCTGTGAATTTTATGTATTTTGTTTTTTCCATCAGTTTGGTGATTAGTGTATCTATGATCACTTTCTGATTCTGAAAAGCTTCTTCTATAAATTGATATCTGAAGAAATAAGCAAATTATTTCACACAAAAATATACAATGAGGCAAAGTCCAAGAATAAAGAAATGACTGATAAAAATACAATAGGATTAAAAAGAATTCATGTAATAATCTTTTAAAACACCAAATGTATCCCTAATAAGGCAAATTTTCCCCACCTCTTAAATTATCCCTCAAGAAAGATTATGGACACGTAAATATTTTGAAAGTTTGAGAACCACATGCATCCAACATACAGTTTTATAAGCTTACAGAGTTCACTTTCACTTGAATTCCCTTTTATTTCTAGTCTGCTAAGATGTTATATAATGAACGCATATTTCATTTTTATGGAATATTTCTACTGCTTCTATTGAGATAATCATATACTTTTTCCTTTATTCTTTTAACATGACATGAAAGATTTTAGCATCAATGATTTTGACATGTGAAATGAATTTTGTATCCCTACAATGAGGCCAAATTGGTTTAATTACAACTGTCCCAAAATGACAATACTACGAGATTTAAGGCAAGTCTTCCCTTCCTCTAAAATCATCTGTTTTCTTATTTTCTGCTTCTTGCAATTTTTACATTCATTTCATGGATGAGACTGGTCTGTAATTTTCCACTTCTATTCACTGTCAGTTTTTGGTGTAAAGGTTATGCTGGCTTCATATAACGAGTTGGAAAGAATTCAGTTTTTTGCCATTCTCTGGACAAGTCTGTATAAGAAAGGGACTACTGTTACCTTAACTACGTGGTATATTCATCAGTGTCATTTGTATGTGTAATTCCATCCCCCCCACCCCCATTGTTTTTTTGAGACAGAGTTTCACTCCTGTTGCCCAGGCTGGAATGTGATGGTGCAATCTCAGCTTACCGCAACCTCCACCTCCCAGGTTCAAGTGATTCTCCTGCCTCAGCTTCCAGAGTAGCTGGGATTACAGGCATGGGCCAGCAGCCCAGCTAATTTTGTATTGTTAGTACAGACAGGGTTTCTCCTTGTTGGTCAGGCTGGTCTCAAACTCCCAACCTCAGGTGATCGTCCGCCTCAGCCTCCCAATGTGCTGGGATTACAGCCACTGCACCTGGCCTGTATGTGTAATTTTCTTTGTGATAAGGTTTTAAATTATGAATGAACATTAAAAGACTATTCTGATTTTCTACTGTATTTTGCATAAGTTTTGGAAAAAAGTTGCATTTTCTAAGAGTTTTCCCATATCATGTACACATTTTCTTACTATTTAGAGATATCCTTTATCTTTGAAAATGCATTTAAAATACGTAATAATGCCACCTTCCTACTCCTTGGCAGTGGTTATTTGGGCCTGCTCTCTCAATCACTCATACAGAGAATTGTTGATTTTTCTAGTCATTTTGGCTTTGACTATTTCTATACCTGTCTTTTTTATGTTTCTTTTAAAACCCATTTGCTTTGGGTTTAATTTGCTACTTTTCCTAAACTGCAATAAATGTTTGGTGAATTGACTTTATCCTTTACATAATACAAATGCCTTTAATAATATAAATTGTCTTCCAAATATGGCTTTACTTATTAAAAAAGAAAAACCTCAAGGCTTGATTGATATCTTCACTATTATTCAGATCAAAATGTTTTCTACTATCTATTGAAATTTCTTCTTGATTATTTAGATGTATTTAACTGATTATTTTTAAATAATTTCAAAGTTAAATTTAAATCTGTAACTTTTTTTATAATACTGTAACCTATAGACCATGTTTTTTAATTCTATCATTTGTCTAAACAATGTCTTTTAAATAACTTCGTTCTTTAATCTAGGATATAATTCCAGGATTGTGCATCAGTACACTTAGTTATCACAAGAATTTCATTTCCAAATATATAGTATCTTTCAATCTTTTCAAATTTAAGACTTTAGCATATGGTCAGTTACTATTTTATTGTATGCTTGTAAAGAATGTGTATTTTGGGGTACAGTGTTCCATAATGTCCATAAAACACTATCCTATGTTACTCGATTTTTTTTTTTTTTTTTTTTTTTGAGATGGAGTTTCACTCTTTGTCACCTATGCTGGAGCGCAATGACGTGATCTTGGCTCACCGCAACCTCCACCTCCCAGGTTCAGGCGATTCTCCTACCTCAGCCTCCTGAGTAGCTGGGATTACAGACGTGAGCCACCACGCCCGGCCCTTATTTCACTATCTTTACTGATTTTTCAGTCTGCTTGTTTTGTTCTTTATTTATTTATTACAGATAGGTCTTACTCCCACCTCAGTTTCCTGAGTAGCTAGGTAGCTAGCACTTACAGGTGCCTGCCACACTGCTCGGCTTCAATTACTGCATGAAGTGGTAACTACTATGCCTATGGAGTTTTCTATTAGTTTGAAGTTCTGTCTTTTTTTTTTTTAATTTATAATCTGTATAAATTTACAATGCATATCTTTTAAGATGAAGAGAGCCTTTTCATCCTTACAAAGTGTCCCTCTTTGCCTCAGGTAATGGATTTTGTCTACTATGCAATCTTGCCTTTGGTTAGTATTTACATGGCATGTCTCTTCCCATTAACTCTTTTATATATGGAGTTTTTAGATATATCTCACAAAAAGAAAATAGCACATTTTTGTATTTTCCTTCTTACCCAGTCCGAAACCTGTCTTATAATTTGGAACATTTTGTCTGTTTACATTTATTTATTTATTTATTTATTTATTTTTTGAGACGGAGTTTCGCTCTTGTTACCCAGGCTGGAGTGCAATGGCGCGATCTTGGCTCACTGCAACCTCCGCCTCCTGGGTTCAGGCAATTCTCCTGCCTCAGCCTCCTGAGTAGCTGGGATTACACGCACGCGCCACCATGCCCAGCTAATTTTTTGTAGTTTTAGTAGAGACGGGGTTTCACCATGTTGACCAGGATGGTCTCGATCTCTTGACCTCGTGATCCACCCGCCTCGGCCTCCCAAAGTGCTGGGATTACAGGCTTGAGCCACCGCGCCCAGCCGTTTACATTTAGTATAATTATGGTATATTTGTAGATATACCAACTTACCAAGGCCTCATTACATTCCATCGGTTGTTTATTTCTTTTTCTCACTTTTTGGTCTTTGTTTACACTGATTATTCCACATTCCCACACTGCCCACACCTTCGTAATTGTATACACTTACTATTCTTTTGGTGACTACTCTACACATTACAAAAACAAATTTTTACATGTCATCATTTAATATCTATACTTTTCATGCTCTTCCATGCATGGACCTTAGAACATAAATTCCATACCCTTTTAGCACATTTGCTGCTATGTGATATACATATACACACAGCACACCAACAAGATACTGTCCAATACTGCTTTACTATTTTATTAGTTCTAGCATTTCATATAGACAATTTCTGTATTTTGTCCAAGTTTTCTAGTCATTCTCACTGTTGGTCCAAATTATCTAGTCTGCCATTATCAGGAGCCTGGACCATTATAAGCAATTATATTTGTATCAATCTGAATCTTACCCATATAAATTACCTGTTGCTGACCTGAATGTCTATTGAGATCAGATTTAAAAGTAAGTTTTATGCCGGGCACGGTGGCTCACGCCTGTAATCCTAGCACCTTAGGAGGCCAACGCGGGAGGATCACTTGACGTCACGAGTTTAAGACCAGCCTGGGCAACATGGTAAAACCCCGTCTCTACTAAAATACAAAAAATTAGCCAGGCATGGTGTGGCGGGTGCCTGTAATCCCAGCTACTTGGGAGGCTGAGACAAGAGAATCACTTGAACCCTGGAGGCAGAGTTTGCAGTGAGCCGAGATCGTGCCGCTGCTCTCCAGCCTGGGCGACAGAGTGAGACTCTGTCTCAAAAAATAAAATAAAATATAAAATAAAATAAAGATCAGAACATTTGCTGGGCGCGGTGGCTCATGCCTATAATCCCAGCACTTTGGGAGGCTGAGGAGGATGAATCACCTGACGTCAGGAGTTCAAGACCAGCCTGGGCAACATGGTGAAACCCCATCTCTAAAAAAAAATTCAAAAAAAAATAAATGAAAGTAAGCTTTGCTAGGAACTGTAAGGAACTGGAAAAGGCATGTCTCAAATGTTCACATGAAAGTATACAGACCCAGGGCTAGAAAATCCAGAAATCTAGATATTTTAAAAAATATAAAATCTCCTCATTTTGCAATGCTGGTAACTAGTTCTATATATTTTAAAACAGTGTGTCGGCCAGTGTCCTCAACTCAGGATGATTTTTCTCCTTAGGCCATTGCCAATGTCTGGAGCTATATTTTAGTTGTCACAACTGGGGAGGGTTAGAGGGTTAGTAACTACCAGCATCTAGTTCGTAGAGGTCAAGCATGCTAATCACCATATAATACACGGATCAGTCCCCAACAATAATTATCTAGCCCAAAATGTCAGTAGTGTCAAAACTAGCAAACCCTGGTGTAGGCCAGCATACTGCTGGCCAAACAAACCTATTTAAAGACTGACATTTGACCAGGGTTGGCAGCAGTCCTTTAGTCCTCTAAAGCTGTATATGCATCTATACACAAATCTATATAACCAAAGATGCTGGTACCTATGCTCTTTATGTTCTAATAACTGACAGTCTCGACATGTCAGTTTGTCACATGTCTCACAGTACAGCTTCAACTGCTCCTTTTTATGAAAAGGACAAAACACTGGTCGCTGGCTGGTGACACCAACTGCCTCTGCAGAAACAATGGGAGAAAAAGAGAAGAAAATTAACATAACTGAATGGTAAATAATTATTAGATTGCCCATTTGAATTCACATCTATTGATATAAACACTACAGCTTCACCTATACTATACTGTAACTTTCACTAAGAATTACAGATATTAAGATATCACATATTTTGTCACCATTTCAGGAAAAAAAATTAACCTTTTCATTTTTTAAGTAGAAATTTAAATTAATTCAAAAGTAAACAAAGGGACTAAGTGTAGTTAAAAATGTGTTTTACTGCATTAAAAAGTCTTAAGAAGACAACCCTGGTGAGTATGAACCACCTGGATGTCTTCTATCCCAAATATGAGGAGAATTTTTGAAAATGCAATTAGGAAAATCAAGCTGGGCACAGTGTCCTACGCCTGTAGTCTCAGCTAGTCAGGGAGTTGGGTTGAGAGAATCGCTTGCTTGAGCCCAAGCGTTTTTTGAGTTCAGTCTAGGAACACTGCGTGACCTCACAGATAGAGAGGCAGAGAAAGAGATGAAAAGAGAGGGAGGAAGAAAGAAAATACAATACAAATGTCTAAAAGGAGAGTCAAATAAATTATTAACCCACTTTTGTTAAAATCCTAACAGAGGATACCCATCAACACAGAAATAATGTTTTCATTAATACACTCTAGTTTTCCAGTGTGGGGTAAAAGTGGAAAATGTTTACATCATAATGTTAAGTGGAAAAATCAGAATATGAATAGTATAATTAAACAGTAAACCTCAGTTATCTTACTAATAATTAAAGGCAAAATACAAACATTTCAGAAATAATCCTACCTCCAGAGATAATTACTATTAATAACATGGTGTGTTAACTACTCTGGTTTTTCTAAATATGGAAGTACATATAGTATAGTGCTGCATTTTATAAAACAATAAATGGTAGTACATATATTGTCGAGATTTTTTTCTTACTTAACTCTACCTTAGATACCTTTCTATATTAGTAAATGTCCACCTCATTCTTATTAACTGTATAGTATTTCATAAAACAGATATACCACTATACCACTTACAAAGGATATTTATAAGTTATTCATTTTTCAATATTGCAAACAGTGCTGAAATAAACATGAAAATTATAAATCATTTAAATGTTCCCATAAGGTAAATTCCTAGTAGAACTGTTAAGTCAAAGGGTAATTCATATAGAAAAATAATTAATAATTGTGCCAATCTGTACTCCAACCAGTGTAGAGTGGCTATTAACCATATTAACGGGAGGAACTCTCTAAATTTTCATCTTTGACAATTTAATAAATGCAAGATAGTAAAGTATGTACTTTACTATCTTAGAATGCATTTCTTTGATCACTGAGATGAATCAACATTCAGTTATCAGCCATTTGCATTTCTTTTTTATAATGCACAGATCAATCCCCAACAATAAAGAATTATCTAGCTCAAAATGTTAACAGTGCCAAAACTGACAAAACTGATCTATATGCAGACCGCCAGTAGGTTTGGTTTGGCTAGCAGTATGCTGGCCTATACCAGGCGTGGTGGCTCACACCTGTAATCCCAGCACTTTGGGAGCCTGAGGCGGGTGGATCACCTGAGGTTAGGAGTTCGAGACCAACCTGGCCAACATGGTGAAACCCCGTCTCTACCAAAAATACAAAAATTAGCCAGGCATGTAATCCCAGACACTCAGGAGGCTAAAGCAGGATAATCGTTTGAACATGGAAGGTAGAAGTTACAGTGAGCCAAGACTGCACCACTGTACTCCAGCCTGGGTCACGAAGTGAGAGTCTGTCTCACAAAAAAAAAAAAAAAATCCTAAATTACAGATAAAATTAACGAACTAAAAAATATAAAACAGACAAATTCAAGAGCTACTTCTGAAGACAGAAATATGTAAACATGTAGAATTCAGAACGAAAATGAAAATAACCAGATAGAGAAAACTGGCAATATATTATAAGAATATTCAAAGCACAACACATCAAGATGAAATATAGAATTAACTCCAGCAATGCAAAGATGGTTCAATCTTTTTTTCTTTTTTTTTTTTTTTGAGACAGGGTCTCAAACTGTCACCCAGGTGCAGTGCAATGACAATGATCACAGCTCACTGCAGCCTCAAGCTCCCTGGTTCAAGCAATCCTCCTACCATCTCACCTCCCAGGCTGTTGAGATTACAAGCATGTACTATCATGCCCAGTGAATTTTCTGATTTTTTGTAGATAAGGTTTCACCATGTTGCCAAGGCTGGTCTAGAACTCCTGGGCTGAAGCAATCATCCCACTTTAGCTTCCCAAAGTACTGGGATTACACCAAATCTTTCACTAGTCTCAAACAAGCAAACAAAAAAAGAAGTTTTGCTACATTTTGATACATGCTATTACATGAGTGAATTCTTAAAATATTATGCTAAGTAAAATAAGTTAGGTATCAAAGGACATCATACTGTATGATTCCACTTATGTGAAATATCTAGAATAAGCAAATTTATAGAGACAGAAAATAAAGGCTGGGCACAGTGACATATGCTTATAATCCCAGCACTTTAGAAGGCCAAGGCTGGCAGATCACTTGAAGTCAGGAGTTGGAGATCAGCCTGGCCAACATGGTAAAACACCATGTCTACTAAAAATACAAAACTTAGCCAGATGTGGTGGTGCATACCCGTAATCCCAGCTACAGGCAGGAGAACTGCATAAACCCATGTGGCAGAGGTTGTAGTGAGCTGAGATTGTGCCACTACACTACAGCCAGCCTAGGTGACGGAGTAAGACTCCATTTAAAAAAAAAGAAAATAGGGTAGAAGTTACCAGGAGCTAGGCGCTAGGGGAAGAAAATTGGAGTTACTAAAGGGTACAAAAAAAAGATGCTGACCTGGGGTGACGAAAAAGTTTTGAAAATACTAATGATGGTTGCACAATGTGTAAATGTAATAAATGCCCCTGAATTGTACACTTAAAAAGTTAAAATGACAAATTTTATGTTGCATGTATTTTACCAAACTAAAAAAATGTATTAGTGTACTGCATTAAAAACAAGACAATAAAACCAAAAATAATAATTACATAAAAAAGCCTCTCTGGCTATCCATATATCAGACAAATTTCAAAAAGCAGGTTTACTACAAGAATGTCAAAAGGAAAAAGAGTTATAAAATATTTGAGCCCACTCCTTGTTGTTACCTTAGAGATAAAAGAAAAATAAGAAAAAGCAAATTTTTTCTCCATTTGTTCTATATTCACACCAAATGAAGACATTTATAGAAGCAGAAAGACAGGCAGTATGAATGTAAAACAGGGTTCTACATCTATTCACACTTTCCAACATTTGTTAAGTACTTAAATTTCAATTATAATATAAACCTCTTTTAATTAAGAGTACATTTAATACTTAACAAATGTGTCAAAACAAGTCAATACAGGAAGGAAGACAAGACAGGGGGAAAGACAGAAGAAAAAAAATAAAAAGAGCTCATTTATTACCTGGAGATACTTCCTCTTTCTGTCTGACAGTGTGGTCTTTCGTGAACTTTACCCTCTGATGAGCTCTGATACATGTCTTGCACAGCCATTCAACACACTCTACACAAAAGCCATTAGCTTCTGCGTTGTCCTCACAGCTTGTGCACACCTGACAAGAAAAGAACCACGGCACGTGAATTTTTGACAAAATGAAAAGCTGGTCCTATCACCAGCTTTACGTACATGATACACCAACTATACTGGGCTAAATCAGTTATCTTCCTAACAGTGTTTGGAAATTTTAAACTGACATTGTGTGTTACATTACACACATGTGAAATTAAATTACCGTGAAGAGATAAGAATGTAAGTACATTTTCTCCTTAATTCAGTATCCCAAATATTTTAGCTAGGTGTTTATTTCCCAAACATTATGCTAGGCGTGAGAATAAACAGTCAGGAAAAGCAAACATGGTCCAGGCCTTTATGATAACTACAGTCTTGTAGATAGTGGAGGTTCAAATCACAGTTCCCTCGCTTACTAGAGCTCAGTCGTCTTGGGCAGGTTACATAGAGTACTCATCCTTAATATGAGGATATTACTAAGTAGTTGTGATGATTATTATTACTACTCTAACAGTACAGACATTACTAAGTAGTTGTGAAGATTAAATGTGAGGCAGATGCACATTATTAGAATAAGCATATCAATATCTAACTGTAAACTGATCAATATATAACTACAAACTGAGAAGCACTATAAAGGAAATATATGGAAAGTAATATGAGCATATAATAAAAAATGAATCTCATTTTAGTGGGGTTGGAAGGCTGGGGAAAGCATGAGGAGGGATTACCCAGTGAAGGCTTTTACTTCTAGGAAGAGACAACAACAGCATGTACAAAAGTCCCAGGCAAGAAGAGCAAGAAGGTTCAAAGAACTGAAAGAAGGCAAGTGTGACAGAAGTGGTGCAATCGAGGGGAAGACTGGCAAGAAAAGCTAGGACAAGACAGACAGGGGCCAAATCAAGCAGTCACAGGCCAATTTTGGCCTTTGTCCAAAGAAATCTATTAAAAGCTTTTAAGAAAATGACACGGACAGATTTCCATTTTTATGTCACAATGGCTGCAATGTGGAGAACAAATTAGAAAAGGAGCAAGGGTTTCTCTGTATAATGACAAGCTAGGAGGGTTTTTCAGTGGCTTTGGTGAGAGTTGCTGGAAGTGGTACGTGGAGATGAGAACAGGCTTGACAGTAAACTTCCGCTTCAGTGGTTGACACAAGCCGAATTCCAAATACCTGATTATGTTCATAAACCAAAATCTACCTTTTCTCTGCACTTATCATCTTGAATCTTTCTAACATCACTTGATACCACTGACTCCTGCTTCCTAGAAGCCATGTGAATTCCTTACTACCTGCCAATCCTCCTATCTCCCTGATTTTCCCTGTGGATTCTACCCTTCACCCTCTGATTCTGTAGTTTGTGTTAGATTTATAGGAACGAATCTCATCTACTTCCTTAACCTCACATAGCATCTCTAAAAGGATGTAATCTAAAATTTAATCTCCATCGTAAGCTATAAAAAGAAATAAGTACTTTCTACTTACACCACTTAGGAGAGATTGCTAGTACTAAGTAAAACAGGAAAAGAGTGTGTGTGTGTGTGTGTGTGTGTGTGTGTGATATGCTACTGCTTATTCAAGAAAGATGGTGATATGGTTTGGATCTGTGTGCCTGCTCAAATTGCTGAATTGTAATCCCCAATGTTGGAGGTGGAGCCTGCTGGGAGATGGGTGGATCATGGGGGTGGATTTCCTCCTGGTGCTGTTCTCATGATATTGAATTCTCCTGAGACCTGGTTAAATGTGTAGTACCTCCCCTCTCTCTTTTGCTCTTGCTCCTGCCATGTGGATGAGACTGCTTCCTCTTTACCTACTGCCATGATTGTAGGCTGAGCAGATGCCAGCATCATGTTTCCTGTACAGCCTGCAGAACCATGAGCCAATTAAACCTTTTTTTTTTTGAGATGGAGTCTCGCTCTGTTGTCCAAACTGGAGTGCAGTGTGCGATCGCGGCACACCACAACCTCTGCCTCCCAGGTTCAAGTGATTTTCCTGCCTCAGCCTCCTGAGTAGGTGGGATTACAGGTACTCGCCATAATGCCTGGCTAATCTTTTTATTTTTAATAGAGATGAAGTTTCTCCATGTTGGTCAGGCTGATCTCAAACTCCCGACATTATGATCCAACCACCTCAGTCTCCTAAAGTGCTGGGATTACAAGTATGAGCCACTGCACCCAACCTAAACCTCTTTTCTTTATAAGCCACCCAGTCTCAGAAATTTCTTTATAGCAATCTGAGACTGGACTAATACAGAAAATTGGTACCAAGGAGTGGGGTACAGCTATAAAGATACCTAAAAGGCCGGCCGCAGTGACTCATCCCTGTAATCCCAGCACTTTGGGAGGCCAAGGCAGGCAGATCATGAGGTCTGGAGTTCAAGACCAGCCTGACCAACATGGTGAAACCCCATCCCTACTAAAAATACAAAAATTAGCCAGGCGTAGTGGTGCGTGCCTATAATCCCAATTACTCTGGAGGCTGAGGCAGAAGAATAGCTTGAACCTGGGAGGTGTAAGCTGCAGTGAGCCAAGACTGTGCCATTGCACTCCACTCTGGGTGACAGAGTGAGACTCCCATCTTCCAAAAAAAAAAAAAAAAAAAACACACACACAAAGAAAACCAGATACCTGAAAATGTGGAAGCAGCTCTGGAACTGGGTAACGGGCAGAATTTCAAATGGTTTGGAGGGCACAGAAGAAGGCAAGAAGGTGAGGAAAATTTTGGAACTTCCTGGAAATTTGGTAAATTGTGACCAAAATACTTAAACAGTAATATGGACAATGAAGTCCAGGTTGAGGAGTCTCAGATGGAAATAGACTTATTGGGAAATGGAGCAAAGGTCCTTTTTGTTTCACCTTGGCAAAGAGCTTAGCTGGACTGTGCCCCTGTCTCTAGGGATCTGTGGAACTCTGAATTTGACAGATGATTTAGAGTATCTGGTGGATGAAATTTCTAAGCAGCAAAGTGTTCAAGATGTTATCTAGCTGCTTCTAACAGCCTATGCTCACATGCATGAGCAAAGAAATGACCTAAAGTTGGAACTTAAATATTTCAAAGGGAAGCAGAGCATACAAGTTTGGAAAATTTGCAGCCTGGTCATGTGGTAGAAAAGAAAAGCCCATTTTTAGGGGAGGAATTCAAGCAGGCTGCAGAAATTGAGGATAAGGGAAGGACTTGAAGGTATTTCAGAGACATTCTGAGCAGCCACTCCTGTGACAGGCCCAGAGGCCTAAGAGGATTGAATGGTTTTATGGGCCAGGCCAGCCCAGGCTCAGGACACTGCCCCCTGTGTCCCAGCCTCTCTAGCTCCAGCCATGGCTCAAAGAGGTCCAGATACAGCTCACACCACTGCTTCACAGGGTGCAAGGCATAAACCTTGGTAGCTTCCCTGCAGGTACACAGAACGCAAGAGTTGACACTTGGGAGCCTCTGCCTAGATTTCAGAGGACTTATGGGAAAGCCTGCATGGATGTCCAAGCAGAAGCCTGCTGCAGGGGCAGAGACTTCACGGACAACATCTACTTGGGCAACGCAGAGGAGAAATGTAGGGCTGGAGTACCCAGAGTCCCCACTGGGGCCCTCCCAAATGGAGCTGTGAGGAAAGTACCACTGTCCTCCAGACCCCAGAACAGTAGATCCACCAGCAGCTTGCACCTTCAGCCTGGAAAAGTCACAGGCACCCATGAGAGCCCCTCATAAGAGCAGCTGCGGGGGCTGAACCTGCAAAGCCACAGGAGTAGGTACAGCAGTCCAAGGCTCTGGGAGCCCACCCCTTGTACCAGTGGGTCCTGGATGAGAGATGTGAAATTAAAGGAGATTATTTTGGAGCCTTACAGTTTAATGACTGCTGCTGGGTTTTGGACTTGCGCAAGGCCCACAGCCACTTTCTTTTGGCCAATTTCTCCATTTTGGAATGGGAGTATTTACCCAATGCCTGTACCTACATTGTTATCTTGGAAGTAACTAACACGTTTTTGACTTTACAGGGTCATAGGCAGAAGGGACTTGCCTTTTCCTTCTAATCTCAAATATGAGACTTTGGACTTTTGAGTTAATGCTAAAATGGTTAAGACTCTGAGGAACTTTTGGGAAGGCATGATTGTGTTTTGAAATGTGAGAAGCACATTAGATTTGGGAGGCACCAGCGTGGAACAATATGGCTTGGATCTGTGTCCCTGACCAAATTTCATGTAGAACTGCAATCCCCAATGTTGGAGGCAGGACCTGATGGCAGGTGACTGGATCATGCAGGTGGATTTCCCCCTTGGTACTGTTCTCATGATAATGAGTTCACATGAGATGTGTTCATTTAAAACTATGTGGCACAGCTGTATGCAATGGCCCATGCCTGTAATCCCAGCACGTTGGGAGGCCGAGGTGGGTGGATCACCTGAGGTCAGGAGTTCGAGACCAGCCTAGCTAACATGGTAAAACCCTGTTTCTACTAAAAATACAAAAAAGTTAGCCAGATGTGGTGGTGCATGCTTGTAATCCCAGCTACTCAGGAGGCTGAGGTAGGAGAACTGCTTGAACCTGGGAGGTGGAGGTTGCAGTGAGCTGAGATCACACCATTGCACTCCAGCTTTGACAACAAGAGCAAAACTCCATCTCAAAAAAAAAAAAAAAAAAAGAAAGAAAGAAAAAGAAAAAAGTGTGTGGCACCTCTGACCCTCTCTTTTTGTTCCTGCTCTGGCCACATGTAACATGAACCTGCTGCCCCTCTTCACCTTCTACCATGATTCTAAGTTTCCTGAGGCCTCCCCAGAAGCTAAGCAGATGCCAGCAACATGCTTTCTTTATAAATTACCCAGTCTCAGGTATTTCTTTATAGCAATGCAAAAACAGACTAATACAGATGGGATGGAGTGGGATAACTTGTTTTTTTTGTTTTGTTTTGTTTTGTTTTGTTCTGAGACGGAGTCTTGCTCTGTCGCCAGGCTGGAGTGCAGTGGCGCAATCTCGGCTCACTGCAACCTCTGCCTCCTGGGTTCAAGCGATTCTTCCGCCTCAGTCTCCCGAGTAGCTGGGACTACAGGCGCGTG